TTGGACGAAGATAACACTAAGCAAGATAATAAAACAAAATTTGCTTCTTTTGCCTCTTTCCTTCCTTCCACCTTTCCTATTCCATCTTGATTTTTCTTTTTCTCTTCAGCACTTGTTCATCCTCTTCTTCCTCCTCCCAGTCTTTGCTTCTCATATTACTTCTGAAAACGCGCATAAACCCTAACAAACAACCAAGCAAATGAAAAAATCCAAATAATTTTCTCCATACTCTTTCGTATTGTAAACACCGGAGAAAGAGACAGAAACAAAAGTTGAAATATATATGGAACGGAAGATAAATAGAGGCACAGACAAAAATTAGGGTAAAAAAACTATTCATTTATGGTATCCGTCGGGAATTGAACCCGAGTCTGTCGCGTAGGAGGCGACCGTGCTAACCACTACACCACAGAAACATATAAATATATGAAGATTTTACTAGACTTATATTGTAGCTTTTACGAGAACTCTTATATTATACTTATATATGTTATATTACATGTGTGTGTGTGTGTGTGTTGTGTGTGTGTTCTTTCACTTAAAGAGTAAGATGTATTAAACATTATTGTATGCCTACCATTCCACTAAAATATATCCAGTCTTAGAAGAATCAAATGAAGTTACCAACATCTTTTAAGTACCTCTTTTCTTGTCTCCTTTAAAAAACTGCTTTCCAAAAATATCCAGTTAAAAGGAAAAGTCTACCACCTTCCTTCCTACCTCACTAAGTATTAAGATAGAGAGAAATCCTGGGAAAAAATCACTTATTTTGTTGGCATTCCCACTGCTGTTGCCATTATCATTATTATCAATACTTTTCTCAGACCCCTAAATCAACAATACCATTTCGAAAATTACTATTGGACCATATAGTTTATTTACAGGTGTTGCCATTCTCATTTGCAATTCTACGTTTATTATTCGAAATTTGCGGTTAAAGGAGTCAGCAGTAATAAGTTATTAATATATCCCTCGATCACATATAATATATAACTCTTCATTTCGTATCTTTATACCATTATAACACAGCTTAACTTCCCTAAATGTGGGATAACACTGAAATGGCCACTTAATGGTTACTAAGAGCAAGTAGCGAGTCGAGGAGAAATGCCAAATTTATTAGAAAATTTAAGGTGTCCACTTTACATACGGGGCAGGAATCATCGGCGATAACTAGGCATTTGGACTTTTGTAAAATAGATATCAGCACATAACTGTCCATCACGTATCTAATGGATGGTTGTCGAGGAATAGACATGAGATGAACGACTGCAATTATATAGACCCATGAGAATATCGAACCAGTGAGATGAATTGTGTATTAGAGATTTCTTTGAAACATGTATGGGGTGAACGAAAGCAGCTATATAAATTTAATAACTGTAATAAAGAGATATGTATTAACTGTGATCGAGTTGTATATTTATAACTGTTTACTGCTGACTCCGTTAACCACAAATATCGACAAATAAAAGTAGATTTGCAAATGTGGAATACCTGTAAATAGATTATATGGTTCACTGGTAATTTCGAAACAGGTATTCTACTGGTATTGTCGACTTGAAGGTCTGTGATATTGGTGATATTGATAATGGTAACAGCAATGGGCATGCCAACAAACTAAGTACAACAAAAAAGAAAATAGCTAATATTTGTTTTTTTCCATGATTTCTCTTTATCTTAATAAGATAAGAAGAAAGATAGGTAGATATTTTCTTTGAAATGGATATTTTCGGAAAGAAGTTACTTGAAGGAGCCAAGAAAAGAGGTAGGTAACTTCATTCGATTCTTCTACACTGGATATATTCAGGGAATGGTAATCAGACGATAATGTTTAATACGACTTATTACTCTTTAAGTGAAAGCACGCACAAACATACATACACGCGCGCGCGGGCGCGCGTATGCAACATAACATAACATTACCTTAGTGTAATATAAGAGTTCTCGGTTCAATCCCCGACGGATACTAGATACTTAATCATTTATGCATGTTTGTATTTCTATTTACCTACCGTTCCATTTTCCTACCGTTCCATTTACCTACCGTTCCATTTTCCTACCGTTCCATTTACCTACCGTTCATTATTACCTTCTTCCTCTTACTCGTGTTTACAGTATGAAGGAATGAGTTTNCGGGGCTCCTTTGGGTTCCCATTCACTATAACCTTGACGGAGGAGAAGGAGAAGGTGAAGGAGGAGGAGGAGAGAAGGAGAAGGGGGAGAGAAAGGAGAAGCGAGGAGAAGGAGAAGGATAAAGAGGAAAAAAGGAGAGAAAGAGAGGAAGGAGGAGAAGAGAAGGAGGGGAGGATAAGGAGAAGGAAGAGGAGAAGGACGGGGAGGATAGAGGGAGCAAAGGAGAAGAAGGAGAGGAGAAGGAGGAGGAGGAGGAGAAGAGGAGAAAGAAGAAGGAAGGAGAGTGAGGGAAGAGTAAAAACAGAAAGAAAGAGGAAGATAAAAAAGGCAGAGAATGGGGGATATCCGAAGAGGGAGGGAAGGA